AAAAATCGCGGAAAACCCTTAAAAATTGAAAAGGTCGTAATTCCGTCAAAAATCAATGAAGCGGAACGAAATGCAGACTTGACCTGTAATTCATCAAGATACACTCACATACCGAAAATCAGCTCAATATCTGCAAGCGTTTAGGAAAAAAGTGCGGAAAACCAAGTGGGACAGACTGACAGAGGGACTGCTAGACATACGGACAGACAGCTAGACAGACGGACGGACAGACTCAGAGGAAACCTATAGTCCCCTCCGGTTTCACAGGTAGGGGACTAATAAGGACACAGTACAAATTTGAGTCCGCCTACAGATGACACAATTAAATTCAAGCTGCAAGACCATTATGACGTTGCATGTAAGAGGCCTTTCCTTATAAAAGTTATTACAAAAACGACATTTTTTTTTTACATCAAAAGACCATGCTGGTTTTCTCCCTCAGATAAATGTGAGAAACCCATATGTCATTCAGCCCCATGTTGTATCCCTGGCAACCTGTACCGGCCGGTCGATGTATAGACCAAACATTTAAAGAAGATGAAATAGCCTGTATACAGACATACCCTCTCTCTAAGACGCACTTGATCTTAATTTGCCAAAGGAAGAAAACCTGTGCACTTGTAAACAGACGACACAAGTTAGGTATTGATGTCCGATTTATGTTTTCAACAGCTTTACGGAAAGGTAGAAAAGTATATTGATATTGGTATTAAGGTATGGAACAGCTGATCATATCTGGAAACCCTGGTCCTTAGTTTTGGATGCCGAATATGTGATGCATCTCTTAGCAAGTTTTAATATTTGAGATTTTTCATATCTGCTTTGTTTAGATATAACGATTTATTTAATATTCTTATCTTTGTTATCATTAGGAATAATTCCAACAGTTGTTAGAGAGAGAGAGAGAGAGAGAGAGAGAGAGAGAGAGATTGTTACTCAACAAATATTGTTTAGTCAATAAGCTCTGTCCCCGTAGCAATGTAGAAGGAGCTTATGCACATTAGCTATTGATCTTTGCCATCAGGTATAAAGTCATTAAAACTAGACTTTTGTCGACTTTGTGTAGTTTAATCATATTGAATGAACCTGTCCCTAACCTTGACCAAACTTGTCGTAACGAACCCGACAGATCCTAAGCGCGAACTGTTTCAGGGTATATTTATTTCATAACATCAAGTGCTTCAACTTCAGTTTCGGATTAATTAAATACACAGTGAACTCTAACTGATCACCTTGAATACAATTCGGAATAAAATCACCTTAAAGTATCTGCCTTTGGGGATTAAAGGGTAAAGAGAGAATTAAAAAATTAAAACACTTTTTAACAAGTGCAATTACTAACAATCACTGGAGGGAAAATATTGTATAATCTTTACAATAAAAGATTATCGCTTGTGTTTTGAATTTAAGTTAATCGGATTTAAGGTATAGATATGATAATCTGTAAATCTTATCTGTTCTTATTTTTAAAAAATCTTATGTTGATATTTGACCATGCACGATTTTTGGTTTCCCGCGACCTGCTGTATATTGCTCAAACCTTACCAAGAATTACAACAATCATTATCTAAGAAGAACGAAAAAAATGCATTATTTCTATCACACAGAGCGAAAAAATGTGCGTTTTTAGAAGATTTAAAAATCAAAATCAAAATTAAGAATAAAGTTTGTATGGCTGGTGCATGGAGGGGAAAAAACCCTGTAAATGCACAAGTGTTATCATTAAAAAAAATGTTTATTAAACGAAAAAAGAAAAGAAATGTATAATCAAGAATAGGATTAAACAATATATTTAAGAGAGAGAGAGAGAGAGAAGTCGTGAGAAAAATAGACTTTTCAATTCAATACAGGAATATTTCTGCATGAAAATAGTAGTATTTTCATAATCACCTGTGTTCATGCCTTTCTCTGTTGAAAATTGTTCTAGATTACCATGACTCAACATTACATTTCAAATATTCTATCGTGGGGGAAAATTAGGATTTGAAAAATAATTACGCCGAGTTAGGTATGTCTATTCCACCTGTAATTGTCTCAAAACACGCATAGCAGGTGCCGGGATTACAAAAAATGAACAAAACATATTAAGATTTTAAAAAATTCCTATCATTTAAAACACTTGGAACCATTTATTTAAAAATTATGGGGAAAAAAGTTCGTTAATGAACAAAAAAAAATTCAAGATCTGATGTTACTATCTTTAATGAATCATTCTAAATATAAATATTTCCTTGTTTTAAACACTTCGTTTAATAAGGTATTCATGGAGAATTTATTTTTACGATATTTCCATTGTTATATCAGTCCAAAATTGCACCGTTTGAAAATGGCATATTTTTATTTCTATATTATGAACTTGTTGTGTTTGCAGATGTATGGGACCACAATATGAATGAACTAAACGTATAAAATTTGATGAAATGCAAATGCAAAATGGATAGAAAGTCAACTTTATGCTTGAACTGGTGACTTTTCCTTCAATATTTTAATAAATAACTGTTATTTACACATGAAAACATCGAAATTCATTAATCATAAATTGACACTCGACTAGTATTGAAGATATTTTCTTTTTTGCACAATCTTATAATAACACATCGAGATTTTGATTATTAAATTTTTGAAATGTTAAATTAAATATAAACGACACGGATAAAGGTTTTCTCCAAAAACATGTCGTTATATATGGTGATTATATTGCAATTTCTAGCAAGGGCACTTGTGTTGTTCAGAGAAAGGAATTTAGCGACAGGTACTTCTGCAGGTGTGAGCCCATGTAATACAATTTCAATGATTAAAGTACCCAAAGCTCTGTCACACAATGTCAAATGATAGCTTCATATTTTACAAGTGAAATGCTTACTAAAATATTCATGGAGTTGTGTCCTCAAATGAAAAGAAAATTTAATCCCTTAGACAAGCTTTCTCCGACTCTGTATACAATATCAAATACAATTCACCGATATCACAAAAGTACACCTGTATCTTTAGAAATAGTAATTTTTTCCATTGCCATTTTGAAAATAAGATGTTTATTGAGAGAGAGAGAGAGAGAGAGAGAGAGAGAGAGAGAGAGAGAGATTCTATTTAAATGTCGGTATACAGTTCATTTCAAAATGGGTAAATTTATAAATGTCGGACTGAAATATGAAGTACATGTACATAAACTGGTGTGAGATACATCAATTGTCCTTCACGCATCCGTCGATTTTGTGTGTATTGAACTTTTACAATTTATTTGTACATTTTTTTGTTCCTTTTGTGTTCTGTCGTATTATCTGATTGCTTCCAATAGTCTTTCGTGACTTGTACTGAGAATCTTCAAACAACATGGACAAATACTTTAAACTAATTAAGTATTATTCATATAACTGCAGGTGTCTAACATTCCAAGGCACTTTTCTCGATTTCAATTTTGAATTTTAACACACAAATCCGTCAATTGTGTGTTGTGCTAATAGTGCTTGTTAGCTTTTGTTACGGGCCACTTAGAGTCATCTATTTCCCAATGACGTTTACGTGAAATTGTGGACAAGTATCCCCTTCACCTTTAACCCTCCCGCATAGATCCCCAAAATCAACACTTTTTGCGAGTAAAAAGCAGGTGCGAGAACCCATCTCAGGATTCCAAATCACGTCGCACCTGCCAGTCCGAAGATTTGGGAAAGATGTCAATATTTTCTCGTGTTTTAGTATAATTCTTGCCTTGTTTTTATAGATATTTAAGTTAGAATTGAGAGGATATAAATTCTGATAAGTCTGCCAGGTGTTTGTATGAAAAGTAAAGAACAAACTAGCTGTAAAATCTATCAGTAGTTATACAAGCTGATCAGAAATAGAATTTTGTACTTGTTAATTACCTCTACAGACTATAATGAAAGTAAAAAAAAAAAAGCTAGATCGATATACCGTTTTGCAAATTTTCTTTCTCGTTCACTTTCAAAAAGTAAAAAAAAAAAAAAAAAAATTCGCAGGATATTATTAAGAGTTTAAAAAATTAAAATAAATATTAATGAAATTAAAAGAAAATTATATGATGTGGTTTTAAAACTTCGCATTTGAAATTTTCAAGATATTTTAATCACTTCCAACAGAAAAATGCTTTTCATTTTCAAGCATCACCGTTGTATGCAAATGATGTGCTATATTAGGATGTAGATGGATTCACTCGGCTGCTTCCACGCGACCTTAATCGTCTGCAAACAAAACTGCTCGCGTGGCATTTCCCACCCGCGCGGGGCAACTGAATCCCGAATCTATTTTGTCTTGTGCATGGTGTCAAGGCAATTGTGGAATATTAATGCTGCGGGTTTTATTTGATGAAACCCTGATATGGGGACAAATGGCAAGACAGATAATGACTTGCTTAAACGTGTCAGCGATTTCATTCGCTTTAAGTATACCTCTCAGTGATAGGAGCAGGTGAATTACAAATACAATATCTCTATTCGGAGTGGTTTATGTCTTTCACTCAAATGTGAAGAGGGAGGGGTAAGGTGCGTAATTTATTTAATTAACGTAAACTTTTCCCTCCAGCCTTTATATAGAAGGTAAAAATCACCTGTCGTACGAGGGGAAAGTAAGGAAGACCACTTTTAAATTACACCTGCAGCTCGCACCTGCCGTGAAGTGGCCTATTTAGCTAATAATATTTCAAAGAACTGATTCAATGGATGACATTTTTTCTCGACTAGTTATAGGTCTCAAATAAAAAAAATGTTTGATATAAGCTGAATAAAAAAATCATTCAATATTTTAATCAGCTAGATACATGCAATGAAATAACAACGACTTCGTTTGGTTTTTTAAGGTAACACAAGGTCATCTGTCCAATTTATAGTAAGCTAGCTATCTGTCATAATGAAACCACTTAAAAAGCGCGCTAATAAGAATATTTACAATAGCCATTATTATCTACAAATTCAATACACACTTTTTTTTCTTTAATGATAAGAGGACAAAAATCTGAATTTGAATATTTCAATAATTTAATTAGCATATCTTACATCAAATCAAGTGGAATATATAATTGTAAGTTCAAAACCAATTAGCACTCAAAAATGCACAAAAAACCCGCTTATTATGACTAGACACCGAAAGAACACCTGGTTTACACTAATTTTACACTAATAAAGGTTTACTACAGCAGCCATCTTCATGCTTTAACAGAAGAGACATGCGCGAAAATGTTTTGCAGCAGGATTTGCAACTGTACTTTTTGATGTCAGAATGAGTTTGGAGATGCGCGCGAAGATTGGAGCGGTCTGCAAACGCACGTGCACAATGGTCACACCTGAAAGGTTTTTCCCCTGTGTGTGTTCGGATATGACCTTGAAGTAACCAAGGGCGCGAAAATGCTTTTCCACAGAGTTTGCATTTGCAAGGCAAAGTATGTGTTCTTATATGCATTTTCAGGGCTCCAAGAGACACATAGGTCTTATCACAGTATTTGCAACTGAATTCTTTTTTGACCTGACTGGCACAATGAAACTGTTTGTGTTTTGTGAGTCCGCTAAATGTTGCGTACACTTTGGTACATCCATCGCAATGATATCGCATTGTCTCTCCATCTCTCTCTTTTCTCTTTCCAGAAACAGACAAATCAAGTTCGAACATGGAGCTTTCTCGCAAAGGACTGTACTTAGAAACCACTGGATCAAATGCTGAAGTCAATACTTTAGAATCATTTTCCTCGACGCTGTCAGTTTTCAATGATTTTGAAACAGGTTTAGGGTATGGTAAATGCGCACTAGCCAATGACCGTGATTGCGGGAAAGCATGGCGCATGGCGTTGAATGCTAAAAACGGATCACTCAATGCTTTTAAGGGAAATTGATGCTCTGATGTTACGGGATGTAGTGGCGGGAATCCCGGAGTAAATCCAGGGATCGGCATGCCAAACGGTAGATAAGGTGAAAAATGAGGAGCCATTCCACGGAATAATGGACCTGGCCATGGAAAATCGTATGGTGGTGGCGGCGGAAATCCCAGCGGGCTACTTTGGGTCCGACAGTTTACTAATCTCTCATGTTGCTCGCCCGGTAGACTGGGACTGGACATACTGACATTATGCGGAGAAGAGTTTCGGGAACTTGTGGCTACTGGGGATTTTCTTTCTGCAACAGATATATTAAATCATTAAAGCAAATATGTTAAAAGTAAAGGATTTTTAATGCTGGAACCTAAAAAAGGAGACCTCGGTCCTTATTTATTTAGTTTAAAAATAAAGTTTTAAAATGTATCTATTCCCTTTCAAATCATTAAAAAAATATATATAAGTGCTTCAATATCTGCACAAATGTTGAACACTTGTTATTTTCATCTGTACCATTGTATCAAAACACTTGTTATTTTCACATGTACCATTGTATCAAAACACTTGTTAATTGTATCATTTAAAATTGGAGAATAGGAGAACCACTCTTTCCCCCTAAGGGTCGATCGGTAAAAAGATGCGACACATCAGACACGTTTGACCACAATAACATAATAAAACCGATACACCTGTTCGCAAATTATTCACTCTTTTATTCAATCCAAGTGGATAGTTTATTTTGTAATTTAAGCATTTAATGAATAATAAGGCAAAACAAGACAGAAATTGCGCTAATACTTTACAAAAATTTATTTATCATGATACTCCGATTCTTACATCTTTCAAAAATGGTATCAATATTATTTTCCTTCAAAAAAGCTGAATAGTTCGATTCGTTTATACTAATATTTTATAGCTAATAAAAATGTTCATATAGTCAAACACTTTGATTTTGTTTAAATGCTCAGTAATAAAGAACACGACATCATCATGGGCAGATAGCTAGGACCCCCCCCCCCCCCCACCCTCCCCAAATACTTGTAAGTGAATAACGATATGAATTGTAAATTAATAAAAATCAGTGATTAGAAATTATTTCAAAAAAAAAAAAAGAATTTCTCATACCTTTTCCTGCCAAGTTGTTGCAATTTTCATCTAATTTGGTGACTTCTGATTCGCTTCTGCTTTGAGATTTTGGTCGTTCAGCTTCGTCATCTGATATTCCCAGCATCTCCCTGATGGCAAACTTATGTAGACTATCCCTCTCCTTTGGTATCCTAAGGATAGTTGTATCCACAGCAGATTTGCTGCTCAAGTCTTTTGTGCCTTGTCCAGTTTGGCAAACATTCATTTTTCACCGGTTCAGTATTTTTTTTTTTAAAAAAGTGTAAAGGAATTTAAAACTGTTCAAACTTGGAGAAATCAGGTATGCTTAACCATTCCTAGACCAGTACGTCCCTCGCTTTTAAATTTTTTTTAACCCGTATTTTTTTTTTCTAAGGACACGCATGAGTTCGTGGCTTCAGTGACTTTGTGGACGCCGAATGAACCAAAACTTAATTTTCTCGAGTTTCGTTTTTTAAATCATATTCCTCCTTCCTATAAAAATACTATATCCACTTTTGATTCTTAAGAAATCATTTTTAGTCTCTGCCAATCAGAGAACGTGATTTGAGAAAGTTTGATATCGCTAGAACCAATCAAATTTCAAAGCTCCGCCCCATATCTTTCTTGAACCAATCTGAATAAATATGCTCAGGAGAACGGTAACAGGTGCTAAAACCAGTGCCCTGAAGAATTTCCTCGAAGTTTGAAAACAACAAGAGTATGATTTATTTAACTACCTGAACTTTTGTTTTTATTTTTGTGTAACTTACATTGGCATTGAGATTTGATGTAATGAAAATTTAATATATCTATTTCAAGACAGGGGACTCAGCTAATTAAATAAAGACGTGTGGTAAATAAAAACAAAGAAACAACGAAGTGTCAACGACAGAATCCTACTGTTTTCTTTTCCTATTTCTACACGGAATTCACGTGTTAGAAATTAGCAACTTCCGGGAGATACAGACGACAAGGTGTTAAAATTCATGCCAAGTCTGATTGAAAGTAAACGTCCGCATGACTGTCTTGTTGAAATAACAAGTGTTCCATTGAAATTTGTGTTTGCTTCGCGTATTTTGTCCACCCCTTCGTATTTAAAAGACCTGCCAAGCCATCTTGTTCGATTCAAATTAATTGCTCCTCCAAATATTAAGAACTACCTCTTCATGTTAAGATAGCTTTAATCCGCTATTGTTGTTCGAAATATATGAAAGAACATATTTCTGGTTTCAAGTGATATATTATTTTTGCAAACTTTAAAGTCACTTCAGAAGTCTTGGGGGCAATATTTGTATTGAAAAGGAATTTAAAATTTCAAGCGGTATATAGGAAATTAAATCGTAACAAATATTGCCAATTAGTTATGGTAGTGGACGGTTTTATTGATTTAGTGTTGGATTCATGTAAACTCTACAAAGTACCTGTATATTTTCTATACTCCTCACCCTTCAAAGCGATTTTAAGATTATTTTCTGAACAAATATATTCTTATTGCCCGGCTTATAAATACATTTTGGCAGATAGCAAAACTGAACTCATGCTCTGAAGGGGTGTCTATATTATATAGGGTCGTTTTGAATCTCAGTTAATAAAGAATGACACACATAAATAAATGACTTAATTATTTATATATATTCACCTTATTGGTTTACTAGTAATATATAGTTGATTCACAAAACACATTTACAGCAGTGTTTTCAGGTGCAACACTGGACTTTTCAAACATTTATTATACATAATTTTATATATTTATTCTTGTCTTCTCTCTACATATGAAATAGTCTTCCAAAAAAAAAAAAAAAATAAATAAATAAAAATAATAATGTGCAAATATTTTAAATGCAAGATCAATATTTTTTAGAGAATATCCTGCCTTCGCATGAAAATTTTTCATGATTTAATTGACACTGAAAAGTGTGAATAACTAAGTAGATTTATTCGTATTACTATATTTGTGTGAAAAAAGTCTTGAATATAACGGAAGTAATCAGCACACACGTGTCTGAAATTTCTCTTCCCTGCTGGGACGTTACGGTTTCACAACTGTTGTCGTTTCTCAAACAAAGCCATGTAAAGATGACAAGATACAAAATGCATGCCAGAAACTGTTCAAAAATTACAACATGCATATACTGCATATATTTCTGCATGTATTTAAAGCCGTATAAAATAATTGAATATTAATTATAAACTGGTTTAGGACCTTTGTTAAATATTTTATTACAGAACATAAAACAACGGAACTGTTCTTAAATTCTAAAATATTTATATCAAATGACAATAAAATAAATAATATAATTAAATTTATCTTATATCTAAGCTTAAAACTGCAGACGCTTTGTTTTCATTGTACTGTTAACTTAAATGAAAATGTTTAGATTAAGATTAAGAAGTAATTTTTACAATTTAAGTATAAACAACTGTATATACCATACAGTAAATATATTTATGTCATTTTTAATCATCACTTTGATTTTATTGCACCCTGAAGTTTTTTCTATATCAGACAGGTATAAGCAATAAAGATTGTTCGCTTCGATAATGAACGGGAGGCAGTGATTTTGGGCACACGTCGGGATCGCATTCCGGTGCCAGCACCTGCCGGGACATGGCTCTACGCTGGACTGACTATGCGCCATTTTCACCTGTTTCATTGACACGTGAACAATTGGATTTTAGACAGAAGATTCACCTGTTTTGTATATTTATATCGTTTGATGTTTTTCCCGCTTTTTAAAGAAATGCTATACAGTAACTGTTGATTTTGTATGAAAAAAATACATTAGTATAAAAAATACAGTATACATGACATATTTTACGCATTTTTCATTTTTTTTTTTTTTTTTTTTTTTTTTTTTGGAATATATATTTCAAAATATTCAATAGTACAGTCTTTCAAGATTCCACTTAATATTAACAATCGAGATGTATATTCTCTCTATTATGTATGCATTATTTGGTTCATAAAGATCCACTGTTTGATATTAAGGAGACGTAGCTATATATATTTGTAAATACCGCATACATGAATGTGTAATGTCCTTGTTTGTTGTCTAATGCAGATTATCTAAACTTATTGTAAAAAAGGGCAACATTTTAATTTGTATTTAAAAAAAAAAGAGATCTAATTTTTTTAAATTAAAAGATTAGAAAATGATTTTATATATATATATATATATATATATATATATATATATATATATATATATATATATATATATATATATATATATATATATATATATATATATATATATTCCAGTAATTGATTATGTTAAAAAAAAGCGAAATCCTTGAAATCGAAAGTGCCTTTTATGATGACCCTGTTTTTCTGCAATATTAAATTCATTTAAGCATCATATTTGATAAAAATCACATGCAGTCAAACAAAGGCCACCTTCCAGGAAAACTGCAATAAAAATCTTGAAGGGTGTATGTTACATTTCGCACGCGAGCGACACATCCACCGCACGCGCTACCAATTGCGGTGCACCCGTTTCTTAATTAGCGAAGCAGGCAGCACGTACCTGGTTAAAATTACAACCTGGTGCTATTTCATGTGTCAAGGTACAATGAAAGCTTCAAATTGACAAGTATTTTCACTGAAAATTTTTCTTTTGAAAAATCTGAGGAATCATATTTTTAAATGCAAGTATGTTACAGGTGTTTGAGAAACAGATTACATTACATTTACATGCGAACAATTTGTGATCAAAACAAACAATTTAAAAAAAAAGGGGGGGGGACGTCGAATTTCAATAAAACACGAGTATCCTGCGGATTTTTTTTTTTTAGTCTAAACCTGTTAGGAACATCTTGCATTCAATGTACAAAGCTTTACGTAAATTTTATTAACCACAGCCTACGATTGATAAATCAATTCCTATCATTACAAACCAGAGTGTCAGATGTGTTCCTGTTCTGTTCTTAACTTCAACTGTGTTCGATGAATAGAGAAAAGAAAATGAGGTATAATACAGAAAGAGACTCTATATTGAATCATTTATCATATACTCTGCAATACTTCTTGTACAAATCGTGAAAATAAAATTTTAAAATAAAAGGTGACCAATATTAAAAAAAAAATGTGTCTTCGTTTTGACATATTTACATATATTTTGATTTCATAAAAATGTTTTTTTTTAAAAGAGAGGTTGTTTTTCAAAAAATATTTAAACTTGCCTAAGTTATATAACAGTTTGGGACACTACAAATCAATTTTAAAAAATTGAGTATACTATAGTAAACCGGCAATCATATCATTTGATTATATATTTGATCATTTGATTACAACTAAACCTATGTTTCTCATTTGTCATATTTTATTCTTTATGTAATTGTAATATTTTAAACTTTTGAGTACCTACCTTTTCAAGAATCATCAGTTTTAAATTACAAACTTTATATTCGATAGATATGGCTTAGATTACAAGTGCTACAAGAATGATGACCAAGTAATTTTCCAAGATTACTAGGCGTCTATTTATTTTGGAGAACCAGACACTTGTGCCAAACCGCTCATCCGAGCTCGAGTCACCTTGAGTACTATATCTGACAAATGAATGAATACTACATATAGAAATAATGTAGAGAAACCAACCCCCTTAATATAAATATCAACTTAAGTTTATGATTTTAATAATTTTAACTTACAGTATTTTCAGAGGCTTTGTATCAAGATTACAGTCTTATTTTTCGTGGAAAAGATTTCATACTTTTCGTCTAAATAAAACAAACAAATTATGGCCAACCCTGGTCTATTGCGAATTTTAAAATAAGTTTGACTCTACGCACGAAATGCTTAAAGCGTTAAACATTTTTCCCCTGCTGTTTGTATTACAAGAAGTTATTCAATGTTTTTTTGTTATACATTGATTCCCTGTTGCGCCTCCATCTTAGACCCAGAGGCCCTGATTTAAAGAAATTCGAACTGTGTTCCAGTTGTTCATACCCCCCCCCCCCCACCCCACAATTCTCTCTTTTATATTCTAATGATACGTATTCACTGGTATTTTGGGCCGATTTAAAGAAATTTGATTTTATTCTTGATAAAAAAAAAACAACAACTTTTAGTTAAATTTTCATTTTTATAGCCAATTGATTTTTGAGACATTTAAATCTAACTAATCCTCACTTGAAAACAGGACATAGCCCATTCGATTCCCTTTAATTCAAGAATACCTGTACATGTTTATACATTGTGGCAAGTTTGACTGTTTGCATAAAATTGGTTTTGTGGGAAAGTGTGTATGTGATAAGTGCAAAGTTAACAGCAAGCAGCGACGGGACAGACTGACAAAACTCGATTATGA